CACGTGGAGACTGGACTTGCCAAGGAAGAGGTCGCTTCTCTGCGGTTACGGAAGCTTTACTGTAGGGATCGTAGTGGGTAGACTGGGCATCTCTTCCGACAGCTCCCTCCCCCTGCCCTGCCCCCTTCTGGGTGAAAGCTGGAGCAGCTGCTAACATTGGTTCTGCTGGGACCATACTGGCCCCTTTCCCCCCATCAGGTCCTCCACTGCTTCCTCTGCACTGTAAGGCCTTGGTCTTTTTGCCTTAAAAACTACTTAAAATGGGACGTTTTTGTCTCCATGCGCTACTTTCAATGTGAAGTATAATCATTGATGGTTTCTTCAGTTAACTTCCGTTGCACCACCTTATTTCATCTTCAAGTTCAAGGAAAGCGTTGTCGGTCACCAGGAGAAAGCAGCACCATAGATTTCCTCTTTCTGTATTCCTGAAGTTAATGACTTCACCAGCAAAGCAATCTGAATTTCCTAGGGCAGGTGTGCCTTTTTGATATACACGTTTTGATATACACATGAGAGCTTCTCTTCAGAAAATATGCTAATCATTTGATGTTTGAAGTTCTTTTGTTCCATTTGTTGTGTTCACCTCCCCAGGAACATCAATGTCCATATGCTGATTCTCCTTTGCATCCCATATCTAACATTTTCTAGTCAATCTTTTATATATGTATATATATATATCCATTTTATTTGTTTGTACTGTCTTAGTCTACTACGCCACCTCACTGCTTATTTTTCACTATTTAATTTTAAACTAGACATCAATATGCAGATATATACATATCTGTTGGCTAAAATTAGGAGAACATAGCTGAATGATCCGCAATGAAGTGACCGTGCCTGTAGCAACACCCATATTAAGTAACAGGCCATTACCAGCTCCTAACAGCCACCGTCAGGCTTCCTCCCAAATAAATATCCTTCCTCTCTCAAAAGTAATTGCTCTCATGACTGATAAGACCATGGATTAGTTGCACATTGTTTTGAACTTTACATAAATGGGACCCTATAGTATGGTATCGAATTCACTAAGAATTGACTGTTATAGCGAGGAGATTCATTCATGTTGTTGCATGTAGCTGTGGGCTTTTTCTTTGTTTTTATTGCTATGTAATTTTTAGCTTTATGAATGTAATACAACGTATTTGTGTGACACTGTTAGATTGTTTCCAGTTTAGGATATTAAGAATAATAGTGCTATGAATATTTCTATATCTGATTTATAATTTACAGGTGCATGCCTATCTGTTGAGTTCATACTTCACAGTGAAATGCCTGAGTTATAAGGTATACATAGATTCCATTTTTATAAATAATAGTAAATAATTCTATAAAATATTTAGTAGTTATTTACTGACATTCATACCAGCAGTATTTGAGAATTTCAGTTGCACTACATCATTATCGTACTTAGTATTGTCCATCTTGTTCATTTTAGCCATTTTACGTGTTTTTTAGAAGTATATATTAATTGGCTATGTGGATTTGGGAAATGCTGGTTAAATTATTTGCTCCCTCTCTTTCTGTGGAATTCTCGTTTTCTTTCAGACCAGTAGAATTTCTTTATATATTTTGTATATAAGCCCTTTGGGATTATGTATTGCAAACAGCAATCTAGCTGAGAGGAATTACTAAGAGGCAGAAGAAGGGTGAGCGTGATGGTGGGGCAGGAGGAAGGTAAAAGGAAACAGAGGAACGATCTAGGAAGCAAAGCTATGGATAGAGGTATACACATAGGTGTGTACATATGTAAACATCTTAATAAAAATAGAAGTGTTGGCCTATGTACATATATTTATATGACAATACATTGAGGTATTGGATGGACTTTGGGCCTCTGCTCAAGCCCTCCCTCAACACAAGAACATTTTGTTCTAACAACCTGGCATTCTGTAATGCACACCCTCCCAACACAATCGCTGAAGACAAAATGGGTGCATCAGCAAATGTGAAGAAAGCTGATGGTGCCTGGCTATCAAAAGATATAGCATCTGGGGTGTTAATGGCTTGAAGTTAAACAAGCAGCCATCCAGCGGAGAAGCAACAAGCCCTCATTGAAGAAGCATGGTAACAGGCATCAGAAGGCCCAGACAACAAGGCCCCCCCAAAACATTGTTGGGAACTAGGGGGCTCAGAGCATAGACCCAAAGCCCATCTGTAGACAATGGGACATCCCCTCACAGAAGGATCACAAGGAAGGGATGAGTCAACCAGTGAGTATGAAACACACAATATACCTCTGGTTCCTTGAGGCTTCTTCAACCCCCACTATGATGACCAGGAACATGTATATCGGTGCAGATAAGAGCTCAGGACACACGGAATCCAGGTCAGATAAACCCCTCAGGAGCAGAAATGGGAGTAGCGGTACCAGCAGGGTAGGGAAGGTGGGGAGAGGAGAGGAGGAAGGAAGGGAGAACTGATTACAATGATGGACACATACCTCCCCCCAGGGGGTGAATAACAGTAACTGTGAGGGCAGGGAGACAGCAGTCAGTGTAAGATGTGAAAATGACACTCGTGATAATTTGTAATTTATCAAGGGCTAATGAGGTGTGGGGGGAGGAAGGAGTGAAAAAGAGGAGCTGATACCAAGGACACAAATAGAAAGTAAATGTTTAGAAAATAATGGTGGCAACATATGTACTAATATTGCTTGATACAATCTATGTATGGATTGTTGTAAGAGCTGTAAGAACCCCCAATAAAATGATCTTTAAAAATACAAAATCTGAGCCCCCCAAAATATGTATATGTGTGTGTGTGCAAATACATTTTTAACTTTTTATTTTGAATTGGGTGAAGGTTTCCCCAGCAAGTCTTCCATTTAACAATTCATGCACGTTTTGTTTCGTGTCACTGACTGCAGTCCCCACAATCATGTCACTTAGACTATGACTTTGTGCTTCCCGTTACCTTTTTTTCTCTTTTCTTTTCTTTTTTACTGTTTGAATTTTTAAAAAATAATTTTATTGGGGGCTCTAACAGCTCTTATAACAATCAATATATCAATTGTATCAAGACATTTATGCATGTGTTGCCATCATTTTAAAGCATTTTCTTTCTACTTCTGCCCTTGGTATCAGCGCCTCTCTTTTCCTTCCCTCCCCCACCCTTGTGAGCCCTTGATAAATGATTGTTATTTTCATATCTTCCACTGTCCGCTCTCTTCCTTCACCCAGGTTTCTGTTGTCCATCCCCCGGGGGTGGGGTGGGGGTTGTTATACACTGATCATTGTGATCTGTTTCCCCTTTCTCCCCCATCGCCCCCCCACCTTCCTCCTACCCTCGTGATCCATTCCTCTTCTTTTCGTACCCCTTCTTGCCTTCCGAACTCTGTCTTTGGGCAAATGTTGCCTTTTGAACTCAAATGGTTACTTATTCTGAGGACTGTGCACCTCCTTAGTAGCGCAGTTCACGGACAGACCTCTGTTATTTGGCTGCAACCTAAGACCTAAGGGTTGGAGTTCCTCCAGTCTCTATTGGACCACTAGCCCTGGTGTTTTTCATGATTTTGAGTTTGTTCCACGTTTTTCTATCACTCTGCCCAGGACTCTAGTAATCGCTTTCATAGTGGTAGCTGTCGTTAGCCTGCCATCATCGGATTCCTCAAGTCTCGATGTGGTAGAGCCTAAGGTTTGCAAGATCTGTTCATTTGGATTAATTCTTTCCATGCATTTTTAATTTTCTTTCCTCTTCTTTGCTCTGGACAGGCAACTTAGCTGACCAATCCCAAACTTAAGACCTAGTCCCTGCGCACAAAAGCTGAATGTAGAACATCATCTCTGTGAGCTGCTGACCTTGATGTTCTCTGTGACTAGGCCCAGGCCTCTAGGTCCAGTGACTCATTGCCTCCTGATGCTTGCCCATCACTAAGAAGTGTACATTCCTTTGGCCATTGTTTGCGGCATTATAATTATGAGTGTGTTTATAATGCACATGAGGGGTCTTTCAAAAGTTCTTGGAAATTTAAAAATTGCAACTCCATTTTTCTCTGAATTTTTTAAAGCCCTCTCAAAGTATGTTTATAGAAATATCTGCCAGACCTATATGTGGTTGTAAATATAGTCCCTTTTGCTTACTCATACTTGCTGATCTTTCCTATCTGCCTATATTTCCACTTGTAAATTGTCTTTTTTCCGGTAATGCAAGATTGTGTATGTCATAGTATTTATCTTTGTTGTCTTAAACTCCTGTGTACTTTTGTTAGTCTTTCTTATCTTTAGTAATATGTTGGTCACCCTCTTATTATATGTTTCCTTTCCCTTCATCCAAATTAATATGTGTCTAGTATCTACTTAGTAATTTTCCCTTCCCTCCCCTTCAATTTCTGGCAACCACCATTGTTTTCCCCTGTGTGTAAAGTAGTGAACTTATACAATATTTTCCCTTTTGTAAATGACTTGTTTCATTCAGCATAATACCTTCCAAGTTAATACATATTATGAGTGTTTCATGGATTCTTATTTTTCGACATTGCATAATATTCCATTTTATGTGTGTGTGTGTATATATAGTATATTTATCTTTTTATTTGTTGATGGACACTTAGGTTGTTTCCATTTCTTTGCTCATCTGAATAATACTGCAATGTGGGTGTGCATATATCTGACCATGTCTTAGGTCTTATTTCATAACATATTTACTTAGTAGTGGTTTCCTTTACCCCTTTTAACTATGCATTTTGGTAAAAAGATGTTCTTTATTTTAATATTGTCCATCCAGCTTATTTATCTTTATCTCTGTAGCTCAAGTAATTGCTGTCTCTTTGGCATTATATAGGTAATTTTTTAAAAAAGTACTTGAAAGTGATATTCATTACTTTGTGAGCCAATATGTTATATAGCTAAATAGTGATCTCAAGAGATAATTTTAACTAAAGGTTTGGTTAAAAGATATATTACCATAGTAATGTCAGGAAAACCTGTAGTCACCACCAGTCTAATAAGTATGGACTTTTAAAGAATTTTAGTTTGGTCCCCATTTCTCTCTATTCTGGTCACATATTTTCTCTATAGCAGGGTCCTTCTATTGTGGCTCTAATTAGAATGGATGTAGTGGTATGCTGGGCACCCATCTAGTTTTCCTGAACTCATGGTAAATTTAAATTTAATTTAAAAATCAGTTTTTGGAAGTAGTGGTCTTTCACATCGTTTAGTAGAGTTATTCCTAGGTATTTGAGGTTTTTTAGATATTATAATTGGTATAATTTTTAAACATTTTATTTTAAAATTAATTTTCATGTAGAAAAAGTTATTTTCTTAGCTTAAATTTTGCTATTAATTCTAATATCTATCTGTACGTTCTTTTGAATTTTCTCAGTAAATATGATGCCTGTGAAAATAACAGTTATTTTTCTTTCCAATCATTCCCTTTTTCCTCTAAGTCTATTGGCTAGGATTTTCTAGTACATTACTGAATGGAAGTGGTCTTAGTAGACTTTCTTTTTTTCCTAATCTTAGAGAAAAACTTACCAATATTTCACCATCAAGAATGATGTTTAGTGTTAATTCTTTAAAGAATAAAGGAGTTCCCTTTATTACTTTTGAGTGTTAATTGATAGTGATTATTATTAATGGATAGAGTTGGATTTTCCTATGCTTTTCCTAAATCTGTTGAGATTATCATATGATTATTTTATCTTCTTTTATGTTAATGTGTTGAGTTACATTAATTTGCTTTGTATTCTTAGAACAAACCCTACTTGGACCTTTTCACTTATTTCTAGATTTTCATTTTTGAATTTTTTGTGGGAATTTTGCATATATATTTATGAGTCTGTTTTGTTTGTTTTAATCATTTTTTTTTCTTTTTTTAACATTTTATTAGGGGCTCATACAACTGTTATCCCAATCCATACACACATCAATTGTGCAAAGCGCATTTGTACATCGTTTCTCAAAACATTTTCTCTCCATTTAAACCCCCGACATTAGGTCCTCATTTTTCT